AGTGGTAGCTACTACTAGTGACCTCATCAATGTGTATTTATCAATTCACCTGCTCGTGTGGAGCCAGGTATGTCGGCCGTACCCAGCGTTCGCTTTCCAAGCGTATCACCGAACACTTACCAACATGGTTTTACAAAGGAGAAAAAAGATGCCCCTGCAGCTCCATCTTAGAACATCTGATAGATTCCTGACACCAAGCTATACCCCAAACAAACTTCAAAGTCGTCTACAGAGTAAGAAATACTCTTCCTAAAGGTGTACGAATCAGACTTCTTCAAACTGCAGAAGCAATGGCGATTTACTTGTTAAGCCCTGAACTCTGCATACAGAAGAAGTTCGTTCAATCACTACACTTACAATGGACTTAATCTATCTTATGACCTGAAAAGTGTATTCTACCTAATCCTTTTCTCTTCTGTCTCTTCATTAGTATTACTTCGTCTTCTCAATTGTAACATTTTACATTTTCAACTTTCTTGTTCCCTACCCCTCACCCGATTTAATTTCTACACCTCACTATCAATGTTACTGACTTGACCAACGCTCAGTTTCTAGTCATTTATGTTACGTCATCCAACTTCTACTTAGTCTCTACCTGCAATTACCTCTGTTGCTACCCTGACCTAAGTTGAAACATTTCAGTCAATTATATTACGTCATCTAACTTACTAACTGACTCAGTCTTACTTTAGTGGCTGTCTGATTAACCTTGTTTCTATGTTAGATCATTCTTTTATTACCTGATCAATTATCTAAACTTGACAAACCTCATGTACACACACCTATACACAAATAATAAAATATATAAATGCGATTGTACACCTATGTGAATGAATTCGCTATCGAAAAGAGTCTCTTCGCTGAACGTCTTCTCTTTTTCAAATAACTAAATGGAGATTAGCATTTGGTATATTAGTATGTCTAGGAGACACATCTTGAGAAGACGTGTCCTCACATATCTGCTCAAATAATCAAAGTGTGATTCATCTCCTTTGTTCCGTATAAACCATGTTAATCTCGACATATACTAATTGTTGCTTCAGGATAGCTGGTTCCGTCAATGTGACTTGAATCCTATTGTCAGCAAACTTTGAACAAGCCGTAGGATTCCCGTATGATTTGTGTTCATGAACAATCTTTAAATATTCCCATTTATAATATTAGAACAAGACATGTAAGCGAACAATAATGCTGTTTTCAAGTAGATCTTCTTCAGGCTTTACCCTAATTTACATGGATTTATATATAAACATTTTTAACCAATGACGGTGATTTTGTGGATCAAATAATAATAATAATAATAATAATAATAATAATAATGCGGTAAATTTTATGAACGAAATTATTAACGATGATTATAATGATTACAAAATGTTGATAATAATAAGAGTTGCTTTTAAGATGTGCTATGAATGTACACTTCACATTCAACGACTTTTACTACAGGCAAATCGACGGTATTGCCATGGGTTCTCAATTGGGGCCAATTTTGGCAGATTTCTTTCTTGCCAAGATTGAAAATGGTCCATTGAAACCAGTAATAGAAAAAGCTGATTCTTATTTTCGTTATGTTGATGATACGTTTATTATTATTCTTGATGTGAAAGCTGACAAGAATGAAATGTTAAAAATGTTTAATAATGTACATCCATCGCTCATCTTCACTTGTAAAGAAGAACATGATGGTAGACTACATTTCCTTGACGTCCAATTGAGCAGAAGAGAGGATGGTTCACTCAAGAGAGATGTCTATAGAAAACCTACATCTGTAGGACAATATACACATTTCCTCAGTTTTGTACTAATCCGATACAAAATCAATTTAGTCAGATGCCTGACGAATAGAGCAAGACATATCTGTACAGATGACTCCCTAGAGAATGAGCTAGGATACATCCAAAATACGTTGGTCCAAATGGGTTATCCTAGTAGATTTGTCAGGACACACATGAATACCAGGTACAATAAAGAGAAACTGACAACAGTTAAAAAGAAATAACTGTTCATGAAACTGCAATTTAATGGGGACGTGGCTAGCGAAGTCTTGCATCTGAGATTATCGAGAGCGATAAAACGGACTTCTAATGCCGCCACCCTCTGTTTGTCATTTTCCAGCCGACCAAATTTGATTGCTCAAGTGAAAGATAAGCTACCTAGCTGTGCCACTTCCATGTGTATCTATAAATTTAGTTGCTCCTGTGGAGAGAGCTATATACGGCGAACAATTAGACAGCTTAACAAACGCATTAATGAGCATCTTCCTTCATGGTTTGGAAAAGGTCAAATAAAATCCATAGGAAGTTCTATTTTCGCTCATTTGATTGATAGTGGTTACCAAGTGAACAAAAATAGTGCATTCAAAATTATCTATCGCATTCCATCGAGTCTTTCGAACGGAATCAGAACTCGTCTTTACACTTAGCCGAAGTTATGGGAATTAATTCGAGAAAACAATCCTAGTCTTAGCAAACAACAAAAGAAGTTTGTTCTACCTTTCTCTCTCTCCTGGCCTAGGTGAATTCTATTCCAAACCCTCCCACCCTTTCTTATCTTCCATCTCCTTCGTACTTTTATGATATTTATTTAAACTCTGATTATCGTTTCATTTCACCTTTTAAGATTTGACCTAATTTATTTATTTATTGAATTTTACGAGTTGATCATGGATTGATATCAGTTAGAGAACCATTGAAAAACCAGGGAGTACTGGACAGCTGTTGTTTCATCCTAATTTAGGAATCATCGGCAGTACGCACCCACTGAGATTCGAACCCAGGACATTCCGGTTACAAGGCAAGTTCGTACACCATTCAACCACTGGGACCTGATTCAATGACTCAAGAATTCTAACTTCTAACCATTCGTGATTTAGCGCGACCCCAACCATTGTCGTTGGTGGGACATCCATCCACACACGTGACATCTAATTGGACCTCACTGGTCCTAGTGGCTGGATGGTATACGAGCTTGCCTTGTAACCAGAATGTCCTGGGTTCGAATCTCAGTGGGTGCGTACTGCCGATGATTCCCAAACTAGGATGAAACAGCAGCTGTCCAGTACTCCCTGGTTTTCAATGGTTCTCTAGCTGATATCAATCCATGATCAACTCGTGAAAACATAACAAACCCTTACAAGCCAAACTATAGAAAATATTTATTGAGTTTTCTACATATACCCATATATACATATACTACCTTTCTTATTCTTATCGCCACCTGCATAAACCTTATTATCAATATTTTGTTATCATCATAATCATCGTTATTAATTTCGTTCAAAATATTTACCACATTATTATTATTTGATCCACAAAATCACTGTCATTGTTTAAAAATGTTTATATATAAATCTATGCAAATCAGAGTAGAGCCTGAAGAAGATCTACTTGAAAACAGCAATATTGTTCGCTTATATGCCCTGTTCATGAACAATCACCTTCATTTCTAAAGATTGTTGCATTAAATGACTTCAATGTCCTGTTGACAACTAAATGAAAATTATACTCAAACTTGCTTCCAATATCATTGAATAGAGTGTACTGAAGACAGAAGATTCTTATCACGGCCGGCCGAATTCATTCCCATATAAATCCCCTTATACTGCCTTACTTTAACTATATACATAATTTTATTGGAATAAACGTTTAGGGTTAGCATGTATACGCTGGAGGATAGGAAAAGAATAATATATTTGGAGGGGTGGGGGTCTGTTTATCCACCTTATCAACCTTTTAAGTGAATTAAAAGAGCAACTTTATCATTTATGATTGTAACAAGCTATTTTGACTCATTAGTCACATTACTAATTGGGATTTGAACTGAGTCAGTTGAGTTCTAGACTTGAGGTCTCTTCAACCTACAAAAGGTGGATCCTAATTTATTGCTCTCGAGATTATTACTTCATGGAACATAAATGTTGAGCTGACCTACTTTTCGCTAATGACATTTCATGACATTTTTGCGCAGGGAATGGTAAGTATCTTTTAACTGCCTAATAAAAACAAATATATTGCATACATAATACAACCGTGAGTTCCTATTTTCTAGGTGTTTCTGGCATATATTTCTAAATATTGTGCGAATATCCCTCCAGTGATTGTTTCGAATCACAAAATTATTACTTTATGTATTCGTCAAATATTTCACCATTTACCAGCTCAACTGTTTAAAAAACCCACGAAAGTTCTTTTAAAAGTAAGGGCTATATTAGTTGGTTATGTCACATATAAACGAAGTAAGAATTTCACTCTTTTGTAGGTTATTGAAATATTTGAGTGGAGCAAATTTAGACCGATTTGCAGGATTTTCAACAGCAACGCTTTATTCTTCACGTACATTGAGTATAACTATTTGGCATGAACTCTGATTTCAAAAGATGACTATCTAGACATATCATGTCTCTTTCAGTATTATTATTATTATTCCCCCTGGATTCCGATGGGAATACAAGGATTCAAAGGCGAACCTCTGCTTCAATTTGTCCGCTGCCAATAAGCTTTCATCTCCTCCTGCTCCTTATACGATCTACACGAAGCTACCCTATGACGCTCAACTCGCTGTCTCCCATTCAGGTTGCATTCAAGAGTCTGACACGTGATGTTGGTCAGTGATCTCTTTAGCGTATACTCGATCCATCTCAATTCTCCTCAGCATATTTGTTGGGCAATAGGTTAGCGGTTGATTTGTTCTTACACTTCCTTAGTACTTATTCATTGCGCGAAATCGATCCTCAGTATCGAGCCAGCGAATGTAACTGTTGGTGAAAGTCTGCTGTGGACTGTTAAAAATGCGTGAACCAAGTCTCTGAACCATACAGAAAGTCAATGACTGAACTAACATTAGTGATGTAAACCTTAATTTTAGTTATTTTGCTGAATTCATTAAATTTCCGGACTGATTTCTTCTCCTTCAGTAGAGTTAAATTTATATTTTTCGAATATCGGTTGATAGGACTACACAAAACATTTATAGCTATTAGTTCCCTTTTAAACTGATATTTCATGGAAAGTAATTTTATGAATTTTGTTTTTTAACTGCTCAGTTCAATAAACAAAATGACAAGTTCAAAATAGGACGAAATGCGCTTTATCCACTGCTTGTCACCATCGACTAATTAAATTACAGTAGTTTATTGTCTGAGACAAAAATACATATACGTGTAGAATGTTTTTGATGTGATTGTGTTCTCTGGTCTAGTTAGATAGTTAATTTGCAAAGCTTTCTTCGCCCTACATGGCGACATCTTCAGCGCATACTTCAATTCGTTGAATTGAGCTTTTAGATTTCTCCACGAGTTTATTAATAATCTCTCCTGGTGCATGACCTTAGACGTGATTGATTGTTTTTGTGTGTTTTCACACTTTCTAGGTTACTTGTATATGAACTGATTGTTTTTTTGACTTGAACTTTGACCCTTTATGTGTGAGGTTTCTTTCTTATTAGTTGGTAAATTTCGCCTATCTCGATGTGTCTATTGATTGATGATTCACTGGAATACGAGAAAGGCTTCTAAAAATTCTCTGGCATCCTTGGTGTTTCCTCTGTTTAATATTTGAACTCTGGCTGTCCCAGTCGAATTGATGTTCGTGGTTGTCTGTATGAAGTGATATGAGGAAGTGGATATCATGTCTTTTGACGGCTAGCTTGTGTTCGTGGATAGGAAGACGAAGGGGAAGTTGTCCACTTTGGCCAATGTAGTGTTTTTCGCAGCTGTTACAATTTATTTTGTAAATGGAGTTGGTTTTATCTTCTTTCGTTGTTGAGTCTTTTGGTTGACATAGAAGCAGCTGAGTGAAGTGATTTTGTTGGTTTTTGTGCGACGTCAATCCCTAAAGGTTTGAAGAGTCTTGTAGTGTGATTTCTGAGATGTAGAATGTAGGCAGAAGGATTAGTGAGATGAAAGTTTAATTGGATAACTTTAAAAAATAAAAACAAACATGCTGAATACGAATCAGTTCGTGATACTTTAAGTGACAGTTTTTTTTAGCTGAATTCAAACCAAATTTGAGGTGTTTCATGTTTCTGAATAATTAATTCACATGGCTTTTATTTCTTTTCAGCTGAAACTGATATAACTGAATTCAATGACGAGGGTGTGAGAGTAACAGAGTAAGATTAGGGTTTGTTTCAATAGTTTCTATTTATGTTTAATATATATTTAATGTTGAAGCACGATTATTTCTGTGTAATATTTTCATCTTAACCACTGTTCCTGAGATCATTCGATTTAGAAAGATACTTCTTCATTGACTGATATCGGCTTTAAGTAGTAATGAAAGCATGAAACTGTTTTGTAATTGCCTTTCAGGGCCAGATCTAGAGAAATGAGATTACCCTTTTGTCATTACACTTGAAATATTTAAAGGTATTTTAATGAAACATAAAAAGACGATTGGTGGATGGTGGCTAGCAGTGGAATCCAGGATGCGCATTTCGTCCTATTTGGGACACGTCAGCTGGATGTACCTGCATTTCTCAGTGAGTGATGATGTTCCCACTGAGGCACGAACCCAGTGCCCATAGTTTCAAACGCCAAAGCGTTATCCACTAGAACGAAGTGCGCATCCTGGATTCCACTGCTAGCCACCATCCACCAATCGTATACTAATTAAATGCCCAGACATCGTCGAAGCATCTGCACAAAAAGCCGACATATCAACCTGAGACCGAGCACTTCGGTCCAATCGATCGACGGGAAAATCAAAAATTCAATTCAATAAACATAAGAAGAGTTTTTAAATCAGCTTTTGGACTGGACATTAATTAGTATTTAGTGTGACGTGTCTAATCCTTTTACTTTGGTGCAAACGGAATTCTATCAGTCAGGTTTGTTGTGTGACCACCATTCTAGGTAGCTCGTTATCACGGGTTTGAATCTTAGAAGGACCATGAATTCCTTCAAAGTTGCATATACAACTTGCTGACTGACTGGTGAATGCCAACTAGCATGAAAACTAGGTGATGTCCAAGGCTTCCTGCTGATTGCCTCCAAATATCTAAAGTCAACTCTTCATCTATGATTAGTATAAAATCCATGTCTCTCTATTCATATGGGAATGAAGAAAGAATGTGGTTATATTTGGGAAGGATAATCTGTCAAACATGTTTTTAATGGTTGTAATGGCGGAATTTGTAAATATCCACATGATGCAATGGTATTCAAAGCGTGAAATCAACTTCTCATCCTCAGACATCAGTAATAGCATTAATTAGTTTCAATAATTGACTAGTTTGTCTTAGTTTAACAGCGATGACAGAATTTTAGCCTCACTAAAGTTTCATGTTATGCAAAGGAGCAAATATGAATATACACAAACTTTTTTGTAATTAGACGTTATATGTTACATTCATAAAGACTTAATTAATATATATGTAGGTCATTGAAGGCCAGGGAGTACTTGGGAGTTGTTTCGTCAGCCTATTTTAGGACTCATCGGCAACGCGCAGACACTGGGTTTTGAACCCAGGATCTTCCAATCGCAACTCAAGCTTGTGGACCACTGATCCTTGTAACCGCAAGGTCCTGGGTTGGAAACCCGGTGGGTGCACGTTGCCGATGAGTCCCGAACTAGGCTGACGAAACAGATGTCCATTACTCCACAGTTGGTTTTCAATGTTTCTCTAACTGATATTAATCCGTAGTCAAGCTTGAAAAACAAGTGGAGCCCCGTAGAAATCAACTCTTGAAAAAAATATATTCAGACATTTTCGGATATGACGTCTTGACAAAGATCAAAAGATTGTAATTACCGCATAGGTAAAGAACTTGTGGATGCCTACCAGCTGCCATAAAATGATCAAGACTTTCTCTTTATAATATGAGGAACACATAACTGCCCAGAAACTGTTTCACTACTGTATGAAGTTTTGGTTCTATTTCTGCCAATTCACAGAAATTTGTTCAATAATCTATCGTATATCAACTCAAATCTAAAATTTAACTGCTTGTTCCCGGTTCACTAATAACTTTAAAAGACTAATGTTCAAATTATTTGATTTTCAATAAAATGCGTTGAACATGAATCATAAGTGAATGTGTTATTACTTGAACATGTAACTAACTCACACTCTTCTCTAGACAGTGATTGATATTTCACGTTTGTTAGCATAAAAATATTCAACTTATGACTTGTTTTCTTCCACGTTAATTTTGAATAGCTTATCAGGGTAAGCATTCCTTTGAAATTGAAAAATAACAGCGAATTTTAACATTAGAGTCTTGAGACAGACTCATACTGTTGTTCTTTCTGCGCTCCTTTATCAAGTGAAACTTTCTATGATGACACTTTTATTTTTTTTTTAACCGTATAATGAATTAAATAGTTTCCGGCGATCATCATGAGAGTTTCGTGCCATCAGTAGTGTAAATTTTGCAGAAACACTCGGAATATTGCCTATTTACATTACACAATAAAAAGCTGTTTGTGAGTTAATGACAAGAGCACTGTGAGAGGGGAAAGGCATTTTCACGAAAATACATCTCAATGGAACTCTAAGAATTAATGAGTGATCTGAGTGGCTAAACAAAATGGATGTTTTCGGTTTGATAGTACACACTATAATATATACAGAAATTGGAGAAGAAACGCCATATTTATCGGGATAGTGTGAGATAATTCTTTTGGATTATTTCACGAACTCTTTTAAATTGCAAAACGCATGAACACTATCAAAGTATATAAGATAAAGGAACAAGGATTGAGCATATTCTTCTTCTGCTGATAACTATCTATTGATAGTAACTGCAATTATCACGGAATGTAATTGGTGAACGGTGACTAGCAGTGAAATCCAGGACGACGCGCATTTTGTCCTATTTGGGACTCGTCATCTGGATATACCTGCATTTCTCAGTGAATGATGATGTTCCCACCACCGAGGCTTGAACCCAGTGCCCATAGTTTCAAACGCCAAAGCGTTATCCATTAGACCATTTGGGCCATTAGAGTCACTGACTCTTGTACAACGGGTCATATTAATTATTTAATTGAATCTTTTAGATTTTCCAGTTTATTAATTGGACAGAAGTGCTCCGTCTCAGGTTGAAACGTCTGTCTGCTTCTTGTGCAGATGTTTCGGCGATGTCTGGGTACATCCAGACAGATGACGAGTCCCAAATAGACGAAATGCGCATCTTGGTGGATTCCACTGTTAGTTACCATTAACCAATTAACATCTAATTACATGTCCAGACATCATCAAAGCATCTGCATAAGAAGTCAACATGTCAACCTGAGACCGAGCACTTCGGTCCAATCGATCGACGGGAAAATCTAAAAAAATTCAATTAAATATGTAATCACCATAAGTTATAAATTATTCAAATTGTTAATTTATCGTACTGAAAGCGTTTATAGGTAGACTAGAAAAACATTCTCGAAGACAAGTCAGGAAAAGAAAGAAATCTCAATAAAATTTAGGTCACTTCTGCATTTAGTTGCGTACCGACCATCAGGGAGTAGATGAAGACCATGATATAGACTTAGAAAACGAGCACATAGTCACTGAGAAGGCATAGTGACACGCAGTCACCGATGGACGTCAAGTTCAGCCACTTCATGGAAGTAAATTTTATTAATTAAAGCATGATAACAAAACTTGACATTTTAGTATCAAGTTAACCCTCGATGATGACTTCTGTCGGGAACGTGTTCATCCTGTCCGAGAATAAAATCATAAACTGTGGGGTTATCAGACCTGAATGTTCACAAATCACATAATTAATGATACGCGATGATACCAGTGGAAAAACCGCAATGGCCAAACCTGGAAACCTCATATATGAAGGCAGAGAAACAGAGAATACATCAGCAGACATTCTTTCGAGAAAGTCGTCCAGACGCGTAGAGTCTACGTAAGGTGCTTATAGGAAGAGGATCAGCTAAGCCATTAGGAAGCATATGTTCAGCATATGATAAAAATTAACAGGCGAAGAGTGATTTCATTTTGTTGTGTCATAGTTTTACAATTATACCTAACAATGCTCCGATTTCAGACGATCACTGTAAGTTGTATTTTGAAGAAGAGAGCTCTCCATATTTACCTATGTACTTGTATCTGCTGTTATATCATCTGAAGTGGTAAATGTCTACGGTAAGAAGTAGAAGTCAATAAATGTTTTATAGAGATCAACAAGGGAATGCGAATGTATCATATACTGCCTAATCATGCTGAGTGACACCAGCGTATTTCTTGTTCTGACATGTAGTCACATTAAAACAGAAGAGCGAATCATTTATCAGTAATAAAACGGTGGTTGTAAGTCAACGACTATTGTGATGTAAGCCAACAAGTTAAAAGAATTCGGAAGCGGACTTTCATGAAGCTAAAAGCATCATATCCATGCATTCTCAGCCACGTTATTTTCGTCAAGTGAAATCGCTCTGACTGGTAGGTAAGTTAGCTTACGGTTGAGCAGTCAGTCCAATGATGTTAATTCGTGTGTACAACGTAAACTGAAATCCAGACTTCAGGAATAAAGAGTCGTACCAAGGCAGTAGTAGCCACGTCTCTGGAATGCTGATTTCAATCTTGGCCAATTCTTGTAAACCTGCATCACACCACAACAGTATGAGAGGAGCCTGTGAATTCTAGAAATGAGACTCAGTTTGACGCTTAGCATTGATTCAAATTCTTGAAACATACACACACCCACCTATGGTGTCAGCTCCTGGAAATGGTCATCAGTAGTCAGACTATGCTTCTAATTGATTTTTATTCTCAAACAGCAGACGTTTGAGGGATTATTTTCAAAATCATCATTCCCATGGAGCCGTGGTAATTATCTTATCACATCTGTGTTTCTGCTTATGTAAAATAAAGTCTTTCAAGTAACATGAGTTTTTTTATTAGGAATTAGACAAACTTTGAGAATGTCTTCCTCATAAACATTCTACTAGAAATATTATATAAAGTTGATTCTAAAGTTCTTGTACAAAAGATGTACACATTTAAATGGTAGTCATGAATTTGTAACCGGGGTACATTTCTATACATTCAACAGAAGAGAGTAAGTGTCACAGATTTATAACATCCAGATTGTATTTCAGAGTGAGGATATATTTTTTTTTCAGGTGTTCGTTTGCATTGGTTTCATTAGTTTCAGGACTGATTAGGAGCTGAGATCACTGAGCTGAGATAACTTTTCTGTAGTACGCATCCATCAGAATTCGAACCCAGGACCATCCAGTGGGGTCCACCAGGTCAGACAAGCAGACAAGTACTCACCTGTGGAACTGGCTAGCGTTTGCACTAACATAATTTAAGGCAAGCGAGTGATTTGGATTGACTTTCTCGTTCCAACTTTTATTCTGTAGCAGAACAATAGATGTACGAAGATGTTTTACATGAATTGTCGTCTTTTTAAACATTGCACACAGATACAGTGTTTCATAGGCTGGTGAATTCGTTTTTGTGGGTTTGCCACATAGGTTCATTGTTTGAATTACGTCCAGTATTAACCGAAATATTTTACCGCCACAATGCTCACTGTCGTCTGATAATACTTCCGCACGCTTTCAGTCGTGTATATATATATATGAATACTTTCTTATATTACCCGTGAACAATTATTTTTTTTGACTGCATGTCACTCCACCTCCAGACATACGCCCATACTCTTCATTCACCTATGAGATGCAATCACCGGAGAATACAATCTCCTGTTTCCTGGCAGAGTGTTAATTATTTCGACCGTGGTAATATTTACTATTTTGTATTAACGGAGTAAAAGAGCCTATTAAATTTTTTTTCAGTAGCATGCTTACTGTACAAAGAATATTCTTTTTAACGACAACCTGCTCTTCATCAGGTTCTATAGTTATATATCCATCCATAATAATGAAAGAATGTACCTAAATAACTATACATTATAGTGAATGAATTAGTGTTATTAACAACATTTATTTTGTTTAAATAACATCGAATCAATAATAATAATAATATCAGTGGAATACAGTTTGATAGCATCAATAACTTCACCCATGATGATATATGTCTGATTTCCCACAAACTGGAAGATATGCAAGTGAAAAGTAACAAGTTGGCTACAGATGAAGCATCAAAGATAGGACTTCAAGTGAATATAGATAAAACAGAGGTGATGAAGATTCCTGGCCAACACCAACAGCATCAATAACAACAGACAACAATCAGTCAGCGTACATGGGAGGTACCTGAAAGAAACAGCCTCCTTCACCTACCTGGGAAGCATCGTTTCAACTACAGGCAGACGGAACTGACGAGAATATCAAAGCCAGAATCGGAAAAGCAAGGCAGGCTTTCATTACGCTTAAGTCCTTGTGGAGGTCAACAGCACTCACCATCAAAAATAAGATCCGGATTTTCAACTCCGATGTGAAGTCAGTGCTACTGAATGGATCAGAGACTTGGCGAGTCATAAAGAGCATTTCAAACAAACTACAGACTTTTATCAACAGTTGTCTTCGCTCAATACTCAATATCAGATAGCGGGCCGGGAAAGAGGAGCAACAGGGATCTCTGGGAGCGAACCAACCAGGAACCGATTGTGAAACAAATAGGCAGGAAAAAATGGAGATGGATTGGCCATACGCTGAGGAAACCATCAAGTGACATCACTAGACAAGCCATTGCTGGAGTGGAATCCGAAAGGGAAGCGGCGAGTTGGTCGTCAGTGCAAGGGTGATTTGGAGGAGGTCATGTGAGGAGGAGATGAAAGCATGTAGGCAGATTTGGTGCGGAGTGTAAAAGTTGGCAGAGAACCCAAAGCAATGGAGGTGCGCAGCTGAATCCCTATGTTCCTCTAGGAACTAAAGGATAAAATAATAATAATATGACATTAGATTGAATGAATAACAGAAAAATTGAGAAAATAATATTACTAATTCATGAATTTGTAGTCTTCACTGAAGGTGGGCCAGGGCAATAGTAGTGGCTGAACTTGCTTCTTCTGAACACACCCTACTGGCTGTTTCAGGCGAATCGCGATGGTCTCTGTTGCTTGGAGTTTGTGATACCTCGATATTTTTGTCAGTTTAGTTGTCACCAGGTATATGATACAGAAGGATTCTTCGATATTGTTTTTGTGGCCAGTTTTCACTACACCTTTACTTAGCCATACTGGGAGACGTTTTCGAGCGAGAAAGGAAAATCAAGTTTTATGGAGCAACGACCGATGGTGATTTCTTGATTGAAAGATGAAGTACCTAGACTAGCTAGCCACTTCTAATTGTATCTGCTAATTCAACTACGCTTTCGGAGTGGTTTATATCGGCCATCTCTCTAGGAAGTTGATGTTTTTTGCTCACTCGTCAACATCTGCCAGTGTAGCTAAATAAAGGTGTAGCGAAAACCATCAGCAGTTAAATATTAGACCACTCGGTCAAAACCGGTCACAAAAACAATATTGAAGTATCCTGGTGGCAAATAAACTGTCGAAAACATCGAGGTGCCGCATGCTGTAATCAGAAGAGGCTATCACGATTCACCTGAAACAACCGGTTTTTTGTGCGTAAAAGTGGCAGCTCCAGCCAGCCACTACTACTGCCCTGGCTAGCCTTCAGTAGAGACTATACATTCATGAATTTGTATTATTATCTTTCTTAATCTATCCGTCTGATATTCAGTGTGTATTGTTATGTTGATGATATTGAACTGTAATCTGCTGATATTATTATTGATTCGATGTTAGAACCAGGTCGTCTAATGCCGAAATGTTGATTGATCTTTAATTAACTAAGCTGGTAGGTGCTGCGGAGCAAACACGAAAAATCAAGTTCCTAGAGCAACAAGCAATACAGCTTGGTTCACCACAAGCGGGGCTGAATAGGCAGATGCAATTAGAAGTGTCCAGCTAGTCAAGGTACTTCATCTTTCATTCGAGGAATCACCATCAGTTGTGTAAAAAACATGACTTGTAGCTTGGCAGCATTAAACGTTCTCTGAACTGATTCTCCCACTTTTTTCGTAATTATTCCACTAGGTGCGTCTCCTTTGAATTCATATTTACAGATGGAGAATAGACCTCTTCTGATTTCTTGGTGTGCGTCGGTGGCACAGTGGTTAGGACGCTTGCCGACCATGAACACGGTCTAGGGTTCAATCCCTGGCCAACGCACACCCGATATCAACGGTTGGCCTGCAAAATTCGGGCTGCATGCTGAAAATTTCATACTTGTATCAAAAATGCTATATGGAGTCAAGCTATAATAAAATAAAAAAAGTAAAAATAAATAAAATATGTGTGTTATTGAACAATTCTGGATAGCTATTTTCAATTAGGGTGTCATATACAATCATTAGTTCATCTTAAACTACGTCTTCTAAGCACATAACTCTAAACGTGTGGCTCAGGGTCCCAACTAAATTTCTTTTATAACGGAAAGAATGTGGAAGTTATGAAAGTGTGCATACTGTCCTGTCTATGCGCTTTTCGAATGCAAATTTCTCTTTATACTACTATCTAGTTTTCTTGTGAAGAGGACAACTAGAAAGACAATGGGATATAATGTGGTTTGACAAACTTAATTATTAATACACTACGACGTCTGTTTCTATTTCCAGGAGACTTGTTCACGCCATCGGGTAAGTATATCAAGGAGATTCACTAACCTTATATTCTTCAGTTATATTCTTCGCAAACCGTTAACAATTCGAGAATCATTCAAAGTCGAGGAGAGATGAATAATCGTTGCATACTAGTTACAGATTCCTTAACAGTGAGAATGAATGACCTCATGAGAGAGAGAGATAAGATAACAAACTGCCGGTTACTGAGCTCACTATGAGAATCCAATAAGTTTTGGTTTCTGAATTACGTCATCTCGCCAAAGCGCGAGATGCTAATCTTACTGGATGCATATTCACCATAGAAATTCACAACCATCATCCTGTGCCTAGTATGCATTGTTATGCGTTGTTGTTTGTCGTTTATATTTCTCTAAATAGAAAGGATTTGATGACTCAGTGATATGTATATCGACGTTTATTTTGATGATTACAATATTTACGTCGCTCAGAAAACGTTAGTTCCTACCGAATTTCATAATAATAATAATAATAATTTTTGCTTTATTCCAAAAACAGTACTAATGATACAGCAAGGAATTTTCAGCATTCAATACAATGCTGCATCTAATTTACTCAAATAAAGACAAAAAGTATAATAAAAATAAACATTATATAATAATAATAACAAAACGTTGTTATAGCAGCTGTGTAGCAAATTACAGTATGCGATAAGGAGAAAAATATCTATAAAGTATAAAGTTGTGGTAATAATAGTAATAACAATTAAAAATAAAATTGCTAAATAATAATTAAACGATAGAAAAGGTGACATCATAAAATTACGGAAAGATGAACAATGAAAGGGTTGATTCACTGTGCTAATTACGTAGTAACTTATATGTTTCACATCTAATAGTGTCTTCATCACATAAAATATGGGCTAAATACGGTATTGAAGAATTTTTGTACTTTCGAGCATATAACTTCTTATACTGACTTCTCGTCCCACCTGATGAGATACAAGGGAATAGTTTGTGAATAAAGAGGGTGCAGGGGGTCTGACAGTACAACCTTTGCCCATTTGGTACAGGAATTTATGCGTCTCTTGACTGTAGGATTGGGGAGCTCACGCAGTGGCAGACCACAAGCTCTACTCACAGCATTTAATACTCTTCGTAATATGATATAATCTTTTTTGAGAAGCCCGGGAAAGATAAATGGAGAGCAATAGAGTACAATAGGTAAAATAGAGGAGTTTACAAACTGTGGAAGTAAAAGTTGGTTCATATCTAATTGTATTAAATTTTTAATGTAGAAGGTAAGACGAAACATTTTCTTAGAGATTGATAAGATGTGGAATGACCATGAAAGGTCAGAGGAAAGAACTAATCCAAGGTATTAAACGCTTGACTTGGTTTCAATTTCCGTGCCATCTATGCTACAGGGATCATGCGAGCTAACTAGTTCATGTAAGTCACGTCGATGCTTGAAAGTAAGGTCAAGTGCCTGACATTTGGAAGGATTTAACATAGGACCATTTGACTTAGACCACTTGTTGATGTCCGACAGAAAGCTATTATTTTTGGAGCAGTCAGACTCGGAAGTGACAGGCAGTGATACAGTCATATCATCTGCATATTTGAAGAAGTGAGTTTCGTTTAAATGAGGCAGGTCGTGTGGGAAGAAAGAAAAATGAAAAGGAGAGAGTACAGCACCTTGTGGAAAACCGGATTTTGTAAGCGAGGTAGAAGAAGATTTGCCGTTATATACAGTATACTGCATTCTATCAGAAAAATAGGAATGCACACAATTCTTAGCCCAGGATCCCGTTTGTGTCAACGAAAGCTTATTTAATAAAAGGCCCCTAGATACAGAGTCAAAACCAGATGTGTAGTCTAAGAAAGCACTACGAACATATTTAGCACCTTTGTCTAAACAAGAGACAACATTGTGATACAAGACAACCGCAGCATCCAAGGTACTTCTGCCATGTTTATATGCAAATATTTGATTCTAAACAAAAATGAAGACTAACCACAGTTTCCATTTGTCACCGATGGGACCAATGACTTCTTGACTGCAGGGATTAGACTGAATACACATGACATCGAGGAGTTACACCCTCTTCAGGCATCTATAATATCGACGCAGAGTGAGGCAATGTATTTACGCTGATAAATATAGCCGAGGCATCTCTCCGAAACTTTATGGTTTACAGTGATTCTCTAAAAGATGTTGGTGCATGATTAAACTATTCCATAGAGCACTGAACCATGCGTACTAACCACAAACACCTTGTTGTTTCCATACCTTCTGAAAGCAAAATATTAGGTGCATTGTGGTAAGTTGAGGCTTTTTTTCAACAACGTCAATTACTGGAAAAATTTGTAAAATATGCTTTGAAATTACAGAAAGTATTGTTGTTATTGTTGTACTAGGAGGTTTGAATATGAGGCATTTGCACTGACCTTCTACAAGACAAACTCAACGCTGATTTCAATGTCAAGTAGACTTGAGTGGCTCTTCATTATGAAACATTCCTTTTTCCTGGTAACTCCGACTGTGAATGTTTCTATTAACAAATCTGCTCAGAATTATGTTGAAACGTTGAATGAACCCCTGTCTAAGACATTTTTTATTTTTCAAACTTTTTATGTTACAGTTCAATGAGCAGCATTACGTAAGTGTAATGAGTCTGTTATTATGTCACTTCAGTATCGTATAGCAAAATAATTCAGTTTGAATTGCTCTTAGCTCCAATATTCTCTAGATTTTAGAAGATAGCCAGTGGGTATTATAACTGAATATAATGTGGAATGAGGCGATTATTTCTTCGCTTTCTGATTGGGAAGTAGGCTTTCACAATTTTGATTATTGAGCTGTTGTAGCAAGTTTTGGGTAGCAGAGAGGATACTTGTTATTGTTTGAACTCTGATATCTTTCTGCTCTAAGAGCTAACAATGATAAAATCTGACAGGATAACTTCTTCTCGATAGTCTACGAACTGCAATGACAAGCTAGTCAGTTAGGAGAAAAATTTCTGAAGCTTGATCGATGCGTTTCAGTCAAACTTGGAAATCACTAGGCGGGTGTATTACACCATCTGAGAAGTAGTACAATGCAACTTTGATGACTCATTTCATAAAATGTTCCGCTGATGTTTTGCCTGCTCTGGTAATTGAAATACACATACAAAGAAGTAGGAATAACGTGTCATTTATTTTATAAAATTATATTTGTAAAATCTCAGTGAAATTGAAATGATTATTTCCAATGTTTCGTTCGGCAATCTGGTCCGAATTTCTTCAGGGAAATTAATCGAAATTAATATAACAGAGGTTTATATATAAAAGGAACATCTCTTGTTTTTAAAACTTTGTCCAATAATGTTTATGCACTCATTAGAAAGAAATGCAATTATGAGATGGCCTAGTCCTCCAAAGATTTGATTAAGATACGTGGATCATACCTTCGTCATAATCAAACGTAGTTTGTTAAATGAACTTTTTCACTTAATAAACAATATGTCAGAGGCGATCAAGTTTTCCACACCTTCACGTCTTTTCAAACTGATGAGATTCACCCATATATGTCGGGTTTCTGCAGTCAGTCTTTCTTGATATGAACCAAAACATTTCTGTAGAACCTTAGTCTTATCAAAGTCAATTTTGTGTCCCGTTTCTATCGAATGCAGTGCAATCACTAATCTGTTTTCTAGCTTCTTGAATTTTGTAGTGGTCTTTGGTACCACATGTAGACATAGTTTATGCTCTTTCATTCTTATATTTACCTGTCTGGAAGCTTCTCCTACATATACGGCGTAACAATCCCCACAACTGATCTGGTATACGCAATTCTGCTGGTTTTCTTGTTCTATTTTATCTTTAACCTTCATCAGTAATGAGCGTAAGGCGTTAGTTGCACTAAAATACACTGTTACGTTATGGTCATTAAGGATTCGCTTTATTTCATGTTTCTTTGCGGTAAGAAATCACAGCTGCACTAACCCAGTTCTTAGAAGCAGGTTTCGATTCATCGTTATCTTCACATATTAAATGCCTTTTTATGAGGTCTTTAGGATAATTATGTGATTCAAGAGTGGATTGAACGAATTTAGTTCCTTGCTAATTTCTCCCTCCTCAGTAACTAAACGTTTCGCTCTGTTGTTTCCTTTATTATACCTGTTAATACCCATCTCATGATTCATATGACAGGAAAAACAATTTAAAACAAGAGATATCCTTTTATGTACGAACATATAATTTTTTTTATTATACATGTTGATGCCTGTTTCATGACTCATGAATGGACAAAGTTTCAAAAACAAGAGATGTTCCTTTGAGATATAAACCTCTGTTATGTTAATTTCGATTAATTTCCTTGAAGAAGTTTGGACCAGAGTGCCGAACGAAACGTTGGAATTAATCATTTCAATTTCACTGAGATTTTATAAATATAATTTTATAAATGTCCAGTTCTCACTCAGTGCTCAGTTATTTTGCAACTATACGGTCAAATCTTGATTACAGTTCATATGTCGTTTATTTATCTCAATTTTTCTACAGGAATATTGTCAACGGTTACATCAGAGTGTAGGAGTGAAGAATAATGGTGTCAGAAGAAGTACTTCACAAGCTTGCTCTAATTTCATTCATTTTTTATTCACATAATTTACATATTTTGGAATAAACATTGATTAAAAGCACTGTGACGGGGATGTATTTTCTTGTTGTGTAAACATGTAATGCTATTTTTTGAATGAATATTGATGAACAGACGTTGAACGAACATCATTCATTGTTATATAATTTGAGTTGGATTTCTGTACACACTAGCTGAATTTCATGCCAATAACTTTCACTATATAAATGAATGTCAATTTGTAAAAACAATCTCGTGTTTTAATATTCCCTAAAATGTTGTCTTTTATCAGAATAACACCGTATTCTACTTATCATTGTTACTATAATAGATGTCAATATTTCGCATTGATGGAATGGAGGATATATCATGGATATGGTCTCACAATCCTGACTGTTGTCCTCACCTCCTTCTTGTGATTCCCTAGTCATTTGACTGTCAGAAATATTTTATTAATTTCTATCATGTGCATATTACTTGTATCTGTTTATAAGTAGTACAGATCTGAGTATGAGAGGGAGGATTACAAAATGGATGGAGATGACGTTGACAAATGGCTTTTGTTGATGAACAGCGTTATATTTCTATTTGTGACTTAGAATTTTGCATCAAAATCTCTGTTCTGTTATGCAGTGGAAAATGAGAATAAATAATTTAGAAAATGATTATTTATCTGCGTTGAAGTCACCCCAGTCTATGATTTTGAGTGTGCTATCTTGATTTTGGATAGACTAACTCATGTATTCGTGGATTGAAGGAATCTTTTCAGTTTATTGGGAGATGATTGAAGGAGAAATGAAGATCCCTGTCATGTGATGAATTCCAGCTAATGGTGTCTGAATATTGTAATCCGGAGTGGTCTACTACCAACTAGGTTTTTAACTGACTGTAATCGCCATACGTAGGGCAAAAGGGTGGTACGTTACTAATAGATGTTGAAGGCAAACTTTTGAACCAAGACGTCTGTAAATGATTTTAGTTTGTGAGAAACACACTGCTGAAATTAATCAGATTCTAGCTAATCTATTGGTGTTAGACTTCCTTACAGTAAGTACTTGTATTAAACCAATTTACCTTAAATATCTGTTCCACGTAGTTTTATTTCACATGATATTTGGAGACAGTCAGTTTGTGGGGTGGACAGCTAGGCTAAAGTGTTGTGTTCCCACTCTACCAGTCTTCAGGCCGTGTAGAGTCTTAGCCAGGATTTGACACTGACAACAAGCTAATTCTTCTATGCGTTTCAAAGTCATGATATGTCGCTGAATGTATTTCCAATAATCTGCTGAACACTTTCCTTAACTGTTGCTCTCTACGTTCGATATCTAATATCCAATGGCTAGCAGGAAATTGTCAGCAGGAATAAACCCTGTAAGAAATGTGGAGAAGAGTATACATATACTGACTGAATTCATGCTGATACCTTCATTTTACACATCACAGGTCAACACCTCTAGAAGAATTTGAACGATGGCTATCGAGTAAGATATCCACAGGTGAAATAAAGGTCTCATGAGAAGGAAATGAAGACTTGTCGAAAGTGATTGTGCCAGTTGGAAAAGGTGACTGGCTGTAATGGAAATGAACATTCGAAACTTTAGCATCAATTCTAAACGTGACGTCATGAATGATAATGTTATTGATTGTCTCATTTTGATTATTTGTTCTCACTGAGCTGAGTGAATTCAGAATATGTTAATATATGTGTAAAACTTGGGCACTGTGGTATTAAGTAATTCCATATTAGTTTGATTATTAAATGTATCACACAGTGAAACAGTATTGTATACTGGATGACGTTTCGAACACAATTTATTGTTCATAATCATATCAATTTTTGTCACACGACTTCGAGATTTGATTTTTATAGTTTTCTTTGTCTTCTCCTATTTGTCCTTGTAGGGGTAGCAGAATATTCCAGATATCAGGGACAGGTGATGAATCATTCTCACTACATGTATTTGCAGTTGATTCGATAAGCAAAGCTTCTGTTATCAATCTCTCCCTCCACCCTGCTGTGACGTTAGATTTTAAAACTGTCATCCTATCCCATCCTATTGTATGGTTGTGTGTAACTGCATGTAGTGCTATAGCTGAACTACTCTCTAGATTTCTTATCTTATTCGGGTCAACCAATCTAGATTTAGCTAGGTTTTTATGTTCGGCTAGTCTGACTGCCCCTGTTCTACTAGTTTGACCTATGTATTTGACCTCACAATCATTGCAGGGTATTAGATAAACTAAATTGTTTTGTTTTAATGGTTCTACAGGATCCTTTAACCGACAAAGCTTGTTTCTAATTGAGTTTGTGGGTTTGAATGCCACTTTTATTCCTGCCTTGTTAAGACTTCTGTGTAAGGCTTCCGAGGTTCCTTCTTTGTATGGAATTATTGTTGATGATTTACATTCCTTATTGCTGGTGTCGTTATTAATATTATGTTACCAAAGAATATGTTACCAAAAGAGAAGGAATGTTGTGAAGTGAAAACTGTTACTCTTGTCATCGACTTGGAGTGATGCATTGTAAGGCTGAAGGAACGAGTTAGTTCATTTTCATAATTTTCGACATAACAACGGGGAGACGTAAGTTACCTGAAATGTGTGACGAGTCTGCGCAGCACATTTCATAATTTTTGATAACACACTTTCTTTGTATACATTTTTAGAGAAGTTGATAGGGTTTCGAGGGTGAAAATTAAACGCATAGGAGGCCAGGTAAATGGGACGGGAAATAATACTATCTAGAATACCTCTTGTATTTTTAAAATTGGAATAACAAGGCATCTTCAGATATAAATTTGAACACATAAGACGGGTCTATACAATGTTATGGTTTGGGCTTTAATCATTTTAAATATATGACCCAAATTACTTCTGCATACAGGTTTAAAGGCACATACTGAAATCAAGTGCATGATTAGTCTGTATGTTATGCCTTGCAATAAATGATGCTGCACATTTATTTTCAGGGTAATTAAATCAGGTGAACATCTCGAGAAATCGAAATCAGAGGAAATGAACACCACAGAGCATCTATTCGACCACCGAGAAGTCCGGGTGAACTAGAAAAGCTTGGAAAATCATCAGCTATAGGTCTACACGCTATAGAATCAGGCCACAAAATTGTTTTTGACGATATGGAAATAATCCAGAAAAAGCCTTTAATGAATAACAAAGAAAGTCTAATATCAGAAGCACTTCATATCAAGTAGAATCCAAACTGCCTGAATAGGAATGATGGACTAAAACAGAATCTGACCTGGTTACAACACCCCCGTCCCACATGAAGTGACAAAATCAACAAGAATGTGATGAGCAGTTTCATTGTGTAAACACATACTGCTTTTATAATTTTACACACTGATCAAATCCAACAATCTACACATGATGGTTTTGTTATCTTCATCATTTGACCAACTTGAAAACGAAAAATGACCCCATACTGTTGAACGATGAACAAGTTAGTAAATCTTGTTTTGATATCATAACATGCGTACTATTTATTACCTTTTTCATATGATTTAGTGATCTTTATTGTAATTTTGACTTTCGATATGTCCCTTAAACTTGACCTAAGTCTATCTTTTTCTCACCCCTTAACTCTTTGTTATATATATGCTGAGATTTTATAAATTCTCGTTTAATAATAGTACTTTGATAAAGCTATTAGCAGCAGCATTAAATAGCTAAACGTCAGTAAAAACAACAATATCGTTTTGTTTTTCATTCATTCATTCATTGGGAAATGCAAAAACCTTTATTATAATGAATATCACATATACCCGACGCACAAACTGCTCTTTCAAACTGGTAAAAGTGAACTTGGTTGATTTGTTTCTTCTTTAAGACACTTGGGAATGTGTTCTCTACGCGACATTTGCAGAGGTTGAAATGCCATCTCTATACACTTGTTACGTTTAGTTGAAACGATGCTGACTAGAAAAACAAAAGAATCGACTTTGTTCAAATTTCTTCCGTTCATATTGACTTGTGCCTGTTGTTGTTGTAGATTAGGTGTCTTCATCAACCCTGTCTTCTTAGTGTTTATTTGAATTCCTGTATCCGCTGTCTCTTCTGAAAACTTGTTGGTTTTCACACGTAGATCTTCTAGTCCATATTTGTTAGTGCCTTCTCGTTTATCCAACACGTGCCCTCATTCTCACCCACATGGTGAGGTGCACCACAATCACGGATATCACTGGTGACAATGGGCGGTCTCATCTTAATCCTGTCTTCGGGGAGCTTTCTGTTATGAATCGGTTGGAGATTGTTTTCGTCATACTGCTTATGAAATAGCCAAATGTGGGTTTGATACCATTTGAATAGCATTTTATGCTATGTAGAATGACATCTCAGACAGATGGAATTCGTGGAAATTTACTCTTCTTGGATTCAGCTTAATTCGAAAAATGTTCATCATCTATTTTTCTTTTCCCTCCATTATGACACATCTTGATGTTTTACATTAAACAGACAAGAGACTGATTCCACAACGGTTATTATCAGGAGTTAAGTAATCCTTTTTGTTATTTTGAAAAGATGGCTCTTGCTCCAATCAATAGGCAATAGTCCTTCCAGTACTCCTTGGTTTTCATTGGTTCTCTAACTGATATCAATCCGTGATCAACTCCTAAAAACATAACTGACCCTTACAAACAAAACTATAGAAAATTAATACGATGCTCGCTAGTGACATGCTACAAGTTGGCGTTTCCGGAGTTCTAGTGAGAATTCGTGACCAGTGAGCTCCGATTAGATGTCTCGTGTGTGGATGGATGTCCCACCAACGACAATGGTTGGGGTCATGCTAAATCACGAATTCGTAGAAGTTAGAATTTATGGGCTGACCACTGAATCGGGTCCTAGTGGCTGAATGGTATATGAGCCAGTTTGTCTTGTAACCGGAAGGTGCTGATTTCGAATCACGTGACTTGGGTGCGCACTCCTGATGATTCCCAAACTAGGATGAAACAGCAGCTGTCCAGTACTCCCTGGTTTTCAATGGTTCTCTAACTGATATCAATCCGTG